ATAAGAACATGAAAAGATGCTTAACATCATTCAATAGGGAAATGCATATCAAAATCACAATGAGATACTACTTCAAACGGACTAGCATGACCATAACTTTTGAAAAAAAAGGAAAATAACAAGTGTGGCCAGGATGTGGAGAGATTGGAACACTCATACATTGCTGGTGGGAATGTAACATAAAGTGGTGTAGCTGAAGAAAACAGTTTGGCAGTTCTTCAAAGTTTAACATAGAATTACCACATGACCCAGCAATTCCACCCCTAGGTATAAACCCAGGAGAAGTAAAAATGGATATTCAAACAAAAATTTGTACTTGAATGTTCATAATAGCACTATTCCCAATAGCTAAAAGGTAGATAGGACACAAATGTCTGTCAATGAATGAATGGCTAAACAAAATGTGGTACATCCATACAATGGAGTATTGTTCAGCCATAAATAGAAATGAAATACTAATACATGCTACAACATGGATGAACCTCAAAAACATTATGCTAAGCAAAAGAAGCCAGACACAAAGGCCACATATTATATGATTCCATTTATATGAAATATCCAGAATAGGCAAATACAGAAATCGAAAGCAGTGTTGTCAGAGGCTGATGGGAGATAGGAACGGTGAATGACTGCTTAATAGGCTCTGGGTTTCCATTTGGGAGAAGCAAAGAAGTTCTGAAACTAGATACTGGTGATGGTTGCATAACATTGTGAATGTACACAATGCCACTGAATTGTACACTTTAAAATGGTTAAGATGGCAAATTTTATGCTATCTGTATTTTACCACAATAAAAAATGTTTTCTAATTCAATCATTCTACCAAATCAGACTATTCATCCCAATTCATCTGATTTAGTAGGATTCTGCAGAAAATATAGTCACGGCCCAAATTCTTAAATCAATGAGCATCCATCCATGTACTACCAGCCTGTGCTTTAACTTGGTCCTAACCTAATGGTATTTTTGTTGATGTATCCAACTGAAGGCTGCTTCCCTTTATAGGGTTTTTTAACATTAAAACAGGGTTTTGTTCTGACTGGTCAATTATCTTCACTATAAATTATGTTTCTATTTACTTTTTAGTTCCAAAGGTTAATTGTTCCCAGCTCTACTTCACTCTAAGAGCCCTTTCAAGTTCAATAACAACCAATTAAATTAAACACACATTAGTTTGAGAATGAAAGTGTTGATATGGGCACAATCTACTAATTTACCAGTTGTTGATGGATATTATTTGGTTGACAAACCTAGACATATGAAATACACACACATGCCCTCTCACGTGTCAACTGATTTTTCACATGGATATGTGTCTATCAAATAATACTATATGCCCTAACCTTTGAGATTTTTCAATTTCAAAGTGTAGAAGTTTTCCTTCAGTACAAATCTCTATTTTTATCTTCATGAAATAAGTCAAAACATCTGGAAACTATTTTTTTCTAAAATATTATCTTCTATTGCTTATAAATTAAAATGGGAATTATTTGGCTTGTAGAATTGGATGAAAAATGTGAACTACCACACCAAGAATGTCAGCTCCTTCCCTAAATACCCCTCTAGTGTTGAGTTACAGCAGGAGAAAAGAGAATATAAGAAGAAATTATGCCACTGAACTCTGATGATCCCTCCAACTAGCCCTTAGCATGGAGCTAATACCTTCTTTGCTGTTAAGAGCTTGTGTGGCAAAGCCTTCTTTTGTGGGCTCTTAGGTGACTCATCATCAATAGGGATTTCTATCAAGTCCTTATAAAGTGTGTCAGATTGGATAAGAGGTGGGCTGATTTGGGGTTGGCATGGGCAATATGGTGGGATCTGTCAAAAGGGAGGATAGAAGGAACAAGTTAAAACCTATGTGCTTTCCCCCAAGTTGCTGGTGTTCACTTGTTCCTTAATGGTTGAAAGACTATGAACCAAAAGTGAGAAAAACAGGCCCAGGAAAGAATCTCCTACCTCCCTGTCTTCACTTTTAGTACCTACTCAAACCAAAGATTAATAGCCGTGTTTGGTTGCTGCGTGCTTTTGTCAATCCCCAAACACAGAAACTTCAAATTGCTTGTTTGAGCAAAAGCAGAACTCTAGTGTTATTTCCCTATTTTGTTTAATTCTCATCTTTGTTTTAATTTTATCCATGTCTTTGGAAGTCCAATTCTTGTAGAGGTGAATCTTTGTGTCATGATCTGGAATTGTCATCTAAACTTCAATCTTTGCTCCTATGATTCCAGGGATTATCTGAGTTAGATCTTGTCTTTGATGTTTTCTTATCTTAATCTTGTCAAGATTGATTTTCTGGGATTTTTAAGAAAATCGACAGAACTAGTCCTGGTTTCCTAAATGGATAAAATTGATCATTTTGGTTTTCCTTGGGGTTCAGCAGACTAATTTAGTTAATTCCAATTTGAAGAACATGGTGCACTTGAATTTGAGACACTGGTCCATACCATGGTCCTCTTGATATGGATCAGAATTCCTGATTTTAACTTTAACAAATACTGGTTAAGCATCTATAATGAATTACATCCTATTACAGGGACTGGGCCTACAACGATGAACAAAACAAATTACTTGCTGTCATGGAGCTGACATGCTTGTGTCTGTCATAGGCCTTGCTCAGTCTATGGCCATACCACCCTGAATGTGCCCAATCTCATCTAGGACCTGCTCAGCTCAGAACAGATAGCCTTCAAGCACTTTAACCAAAGAAAGGGGCCACAATGCAGGCTTGCCAAGCTTTTGCTCCTGGAGTCCTCCTGGCCAGGGTCTCCAGTATCCTCTTATAACTACCAGACCCCATTCGAGGCTTTCGGGAAGAAGCCAGATCAACCATCCCCAAGCCCAGCTCTAATAATAATTATAATAATGACAACTAACATTTACTGAGGGCTTATAGTGTGCCAGGTAGGGAGTGCTCTCCATATATGTCTCTCATTTAAACCTCACAACAATTCTCTGAAGCATTTGCTATTGTGGTCTCCATTTTACAGATGAGGAAAACAAAGTTTGAGAGATGATGTAACTGGCTCTAATTCTTCCAGTGGCAGAGCAAGCATTTAAAAGGTCTGTCCAGCTTGATGGCCCATGTTCTTAACCACCGTGCATTCCTATCTCCCAAGAAGGGGAGGCCCCATACCGAAGGCCAAGTTCAGGAAATACAAGGCAATAACCAGAACAGATGGTGTACCTGCTCCCTTAAGAAAGGCCACAGAGGGACAGTTGGGCCTGTGAGCAGTAAGCAAAACTGTTTTGCAGTCTCAGTTTATTAAATGATTAAATTCAACTTGATTCAACAACAGAAAGATGCTAATAACCTTCTGTCACAGCTTCTTAAATATTTGCGCTCAAATAAAAAGAACATAAAATGTCTTGGAAAGCAATCTAGGCGCTCTCATTTCTAACACTTCAGATAGGACATGAAAATCTGTCAGGGAATAAAATTGGCTCCGTCTCAGTAATGACACAACTAGGTACCTGGATTTCTTCTCACAATCTCCTAGCTGTCACTTAATCCATTAGAATCCTGCCCCTTCAAAGGACCCAGCCACTGGCCAATTTCATACTTACCCCAGCTCCTAGGTAGCATTGAGTGTCAGGACCTTTGACTTAATGCTATCAACTACCCTGACATTTAGAGTTGTTACCTTGGTACTCAGGGGAAGTTTCCCATGCAAAGGTCAATCTGGTTGTAGATGACTCAGTTCCTATTAACACCCTATGCTGTTGTCAGTGCTGTTTTCCAGGGTAAGGACTAAGGAATCAGGCCAAAGATGTGAGGTTTAGGGCCAAATCAAACACGAATACTGGCCTTTGGGCTGTTGTGGATTTCCTCACCTCCTTCCTTGTGAGAAGCAATGCCCCTAGAATATTTTCCTTTAATTTTCACAAAAAATTAATCTTTATTAAAAAATAGAATATCTCTCCTTTAAGTCTCTGTGTTGCTGGCACTAAAAGAGAAGGCAAAGAGGGATGACTCCTGAAAGTAGGTTTCCTTTTCCTGGATGTGTGAAATAACCCTGTGGCACTCAGTCACAGTCATGAGTTGGCAGAGAGTGTAGCTATGGAGGCAAGTGAAAGCTGGTGTTGATGTTTAAAATTGAAGACTGAAAAGTTCACAGAAGTGACTTTGCCTGCTGTCGTGCAAGAGGGCAACAGTCTGCTGACGCTAGGGGCTGCTTTACAGCTATAGGGTCAGAACCACTGGTGACTATCTTGCTGTTTTCTCTTCCACCCTTCATGGCTAATGGACCCAGCAGAATGGAAATCAGGGTGAGAGATGTTGGGTCCTAGGCAGACATGTCAGAAACTAGCACCTCTTACCTTTTGCCAAATGCAAAATAACCAGCTCTCCAGTGGAAAAGGGTCTCCTCCTTATGTGGACTTTCCATTTACACAGGGACCTCTGGGCATAATCCCACCCACTGGCTGAAGAGAAGGCAAAGAGGAATGAGTCCTGAAAGCAGCTATTAAGGTTGAAGGCACTGCTGATGGAAATGTACTATCTGGCTGGTGGTATCTCCAGCTCCCCTTAGAGCATTTCTGGATCAGAGCTCTAGAAGAGTCTGCTGAGCAAGGGATACCTCCGATAAGTTTAGGAATATCAGGAAGTAAGAGACTGTCCTGTGTATATGCTCTATTTTATGGGGGCTAAGTTGTACCCTTCTCCCTGTCCTGGCAGGTACAAAGAGGTTGAGTATCTTAGAGACTAGGGTAATGGAAAGACCATGGGTTTTGAGGTCAACACATCTGGATCAGATTTCCAAGTCTAGAACTTACTACCTGGTTGAACTTGAGCAATTTTTTTAATCTGTCTGAATCTTCATTCAATCCGTATAAGCAACCCTTTAAGGTAGATATTAATATAATACCCACTGTAGAGGAGGAAAAGAAGACTCAGAGAAGTTAAGCAACTAGCCCAGGGTCACACAGCCAGTAAGTAGCAGAGCAAGATTTCAAGCATAGATGTCTGTCTGACTCAGCTCTGAACAATTCCACTCTATTACCTCAGTCATCTTTGAATCCTCAGTCGAGACTTCACTTCTTGGCTCATCTCTAAACATGGCCTCAGACACAACTCCATGCACATTATTGCTCCCAGTTCTAGGCAGGGTTCTGGAAACATGAGATCTCTATGGAAGAGAGAGAAAAACTTGGGAGTTGGTAAGCCAGCACATAAAAAGTGGAATGTCATTGTCAAAGTAATTCAGGTATTCTTGAGGTGTGTTAAGAAAAGGGAATATGTGCTACTAGTTATTTGCCTTGAAAAGAAAAAAGCAAAAAAAATAAAAAAAAAATAAAAAAAAAAAAAGAAAAGGGAATATGGTAATATTGGCCAACACTGTGTGCGGGCAAAAGGTAGGCATGTCATATATCTATATGTTCTCTCATTCAATGCTTACAACAGCCCTGTGGGGTAGAATTAGCTGAGAAGCAGGGCCAAGTTCCTCCCTCCATTTTTTCAGCAGGGTTGGAGTAGGAAACAGAAGAAGAATAGTCCAATTAAGCATTGATGCTCAAGTCTACTATTACCTGCAGAGTTCTGCCTCTCTGGTGCTCTGTAGAGAGACACATTGTATTTGTTGATCTTTCAGGCTCAGATTCCAACATGAAGATGCTATCATGGGATAGGGCTTTGTTCCCCATACCGCTCTTGGGCCTAAACAGAAAGAAAAGTTCCTGTAAAAGCAGCCCAAGGGCCATAGTAATTGAAGACAAATATATATTCATAATGTGGCCTATCATAGATACCTAAGAAGGAGGGTGGCAATGCATATGTGCTGACACAGAAAGCTGTTCATAAGATATTAAATGAAAAAAATAAAGAATAATATGGTTCCATTTAATATATGCACACATATTACATACTTATACAGTTTATACTCAAAGAAAATTCAGGAAGAATATCCACCAAATTGTTAGTGATGGTTCCCTCTGAGGAATGACACTAGGGACAGGAAGGGGATTTTCATTTTCTACTTTATGTACTTCTGTATAATATTGATTCTTGAAATTATGAACATATATCTTTTCATATAACATTCTTATCGAGATATGGTTTATATGCCATACAGTTCACCCATTTAATCTAATAGTGGCAACCCTGGGGAATGGGAGGGAAGGAAGGCCCTGCCTGAGTCTATTATTATGGTGAGAATTATAAAAGATCTTCCACACTCAAATTTGTCTTTTTGTGTTTTTGTTTTGATTTGTTTTAAAATATCAAAGACCTTCCCAGATGTAGGAGGCTTTCATTCACCAGGTCTTCTCTTTCACACAAGGGCTCTGTGAGACATCTATCCTATTTTCAAAGTCATCTTGTATACTACCTGCCCATTCCATCCCTCAGCTTGCTAACCCCAGATGAAAATATCTGCTGATTAGGAATGGAGCCAGGTTGATGAAAATTATGTGTTAATACAAATCAGGGGAAAGTTGGAAGGGCTAAAGGCATGAAACACTCCTTTGGGGATATGGTAATGTATTTTACCTTTTAAAATTTTCAACAAAAGACATCACAAGAAGAGAAAACTACAGTCCAATAGTTCTTATGAATATAAATGTAAAAATCCTCAAAAAAATACTAGCAAACTGAATCCAGCAGCATGTAAAAAGAATTATACACCATGACAAAGTAGGATTTGTAAGGAATGCAAGTTTAACATATGAAAATCAATGAATGTAATAGACTATGTCAACAGAATAAAGCAAAAACCATATGGCCGTTTCAATAGATGCAGCAAAAACATTTGTAAAATCCAACACCCTTTCATGATAAATGCACTCAACCTTGATAGAAGGCATCTGTGACAAACTCACAGCTACTATCATATTAATGGTGAAAGACTGGATGCTTTCCCCCTAAGATCAGGAACAAGATAAGGATGACTGCTTTTACCATTTCTATTCAACATTGAATTGGATGCTACAGCCAAGGAGATTAGGTAAGAAAATGAAATAAAAGACATCCAGAATGGAAAGGAAGAAGAGAAATTATTTCTATTCAAAGATGACATGCTTTTGTATACAAAACTCCTAAGGAATCCACTAAAAACTATGAGAACTAATAAATGAATTCATCAAAGTTGAAGGATACAAGATCAATATATAAAAATCGTATTTCTATACACTTGAAATGAATGGCCTGAAAATGAAATTAAGGAAATACTTCCATTTACAATAGCAACAAAAATAATAAAATACTTAGGAATAAATTTAACAAAAGATGTATAAAACTTACACTTTGAAAACTATAAAATACTAACGAAAAAAATTAAAGATGGCTTAAATAAATGGAAGGACATTCCATTTTCATGAATTGGAAGACTTGATCTTGTCAAGATAGCAATATTCCACAAAGTGGTCTACAGAATTAATGTAATAATCCCTATTGAAATTCTAGCTGCCTTTTTCCCACAGAAATGAACAAGGTAACCTTAAAATTCATAATGAAATGCAAAGAACCACAAACAGCCAAAACAATCTTGAAAAAAAAACATACTTGGAAAACTCCTATTTCCTGATTTCAAAGCTTACTACAAACCACATTAATCAAGATGGTGTTGAACTGGCATAAAGATAAACATAGATCAGTGGAATAGAGTTGAGAGTCCATAAATCTATGGTTAACTGTTTTGCAACAAGGATGCCAAGACCATTTAATGGGGAAAGAATAGTCTTTTCAACAAATGGTGCTGGGGCAACTGAGTATCCACACACAAAAGAATGAAGTTGGACCCTTATCTCATACCATAAATAAAAATTAACTCAAAACAGATCAAAGACCTAAATATAAAAGCTAAAACTACAAGACTCAGGAGAAGACATAGGGATAAATCTTCAAAATTCTGGATTTGGCAATGAATTCTTAGATATGACACCAAAAGCTTAAGCAACAAAAGAAAAAAATAGATAAATGAATTTCCTCACAATTAAAAACAGTTGTGCTTCAAAGGTTAGTAGCAAGAAAATGAAAAAACAACCTACAAAATGGAAGTATCTATTTGCAAATTATATATGTGATAAGGGACTTGTATCTAAACTATATGGAGAATTCTCAGCTGGGTGCGGTGGCTGTAATCCTAGCACTCTGGGAGGCCGAGGCAGGTGGATCGTTTGAGGTCAGGAGTTGGAGACCAGCCTGAGCAAGAGTGAGACCCCGTCTCTACCAAAAATAGAAAAAGAATTAGCTGGGTGTGGTGGCGCATGCCTGTAGTCCCAGCTACCTGGGAGGCTAAGGCAGGAGGATCGCTTGAGCCCAGGAGTTTGAGGTTTCTGTGAGCTAGGCTGACACCATGGCACTCTAGCCCAGGCAACAGAGTGAGACTCTATCTCAAAAACAAAACAAAACAAAACAAAACAAAACAAAACAAAGAACTCTTACCATTAAGAACTCATATTATTGAATTCAATAATAAAAAGATAAATAACCCAATTAAAAATGAACAAAGGCCCTAAATAGACATTGCTCCAAAGAAGATACACAAATGGCCAACAAGCACATGAAAATATCCTCCAGCATCATTAGTCAGCTGGGAAATACAAATCAAAACCATAATGAGATGCCATTTCACACCTACTAGAGTGGCTAGAATCAAAAATTCATATAATAACACGTGTTGGCAAGTTTGGGGAGAAATTGGAATACCCATACCCTGCTGGTGGGAATGTAAAATGGTACAGTGACTTTGAAAAACAGTCTGGAGGTTTCTCAAAAGGTTAAGTATATAATCAACATTTGACTCAGCAATTCCACTCCTAGGTATACAGCCAAGAGAAATAAAAACATATCTATCAAAAAATCTGTACACAAATCTTCATAGCAGCATTATTCATAATAGCCCAAAGGTGGAAAGAATCCAAATATCCATCAATTGATGAATGGATAAAATGTGGTATATCATGCAATAGAACACTATTCAGTAGAATAAAGGAAGTTCTGAAACATGCTACAATATGGATGAACCTTGAAAACATTATGTTAAGTGAAAGATGCCAGTCACAAAAGACCACATTCTATTTATATGAAATGTCCAGAAGAGGTATCCATAGAAACAGAAAGCAGATTAATGGTTTCCAAGAGCTGAAAGGAGGGGTTAATAGGGAGGACTGTTCAATGGATACAGTGATGAAAATGCTCTCAAATAGTGGTGATGATTTCACAACTTTGTGGACATACAAAAAAAAAAAACCTCCATTGAATTGTACAATTTGAATGGGTGAATTGCATTTTGTGTGAATTATACCTCAATAAAGCTGTTACCAAAAAAGAAATGATGGCCGGGCATAGTGGCTCATGCCTGTAATCCTAGCACTCTGGGAGGCCGAGGCAGCAGGATTGCTCGAGGTCAGGTGTTCGAAACCAGCCTGAGCAAGAGCAAGACCCCGTCTCTACTATAAATAGAAAGAAATTAATTGGCCAACTAATATATATAGAAAAAATTAGCCGGGCATGGTGGTGCATGCCTGTAGTCCCAGCTACTCGGGAGGCTGAGGCAGGAGGATCGCTTGAACCCAGGAGTTCGAGGTTGCTGTGAGCTAGGCTGATGCCACGGCACTCACTCTAGCCTGGGCAACAAAGTGAGACTCTGTCTCACAAAAAAAAAAAAGAAATGAGTGCTTAATGCATGATTTCACATGGATGATACTTGAAAACATTATACTAAGTGAAAGAAGCCAGTAAAAAAGGGCCACATGTTATATGATTCCATTTATGTGAAATGTCCACAATAAGCAAATCCACAGAGACAGAAAGCAGATTAGTGGTGGGCAAGAGGAGGGGAGAAATGGACAATGACTGATAATGAGTACAAGGTTTCCTTTTAGGGTTATGAAATGTTCTAGAATTGGGTAATAGTGATGACTGCATACCCTAAAAAGTAAAATTTTATAGTATATAAATTAAATTTCAATAAAGCTGTTATATAAAAACAAAGACACAAAAATATAAAGCTATTCCTATTAGGTAGGAAAAATGTGTCTATAAAAGATGTGACTAACATGAAAGAAAAAAAGAAAGAGAGAAAGAAAAGGAAAGGACCAGCAGGCTGATACACGCTACTACATGGATGACCCTTCAAAACATGCTAAGTGAAACACGCACGACCTTTGTATGATTCTACTTACATGAAATGTCCAGAATAAGCAAATTTATAGATGCAAAAAGTAGATTGGTGGTTACTTAGCAGGTAGAGGGGAATGGGGATTGACTGATAATGGGTACAGTGTTTCTTTTCGGGATGGATGAAAATGTTCTAAAATTAGATGAAATAAATTTTTAAATTTTTAAATACTTTTTTTTGCATGTATTACCTTTATTACAAAACAATACACACATGTTGACACTTTAAAAAAACAAAACAATCTTTAAATGGTAACTAGAGTAGCAGATTGGGCATTGTAGGGCTAGAGCTTGCCCTGTCATTATGAGTATGTCTGGCTGCAGGGCCTGTGCATGGGTGTATTCAATCATGACACACTCCAAGGACAATCTCATGTTATGAGGAATAAAATGGAACCACTCTAAGGTGGCTGTGACCAGTAAGAGAGGAGAGGAGGCAGATGTCTGCTACTTTATACTAAACTCCTACCTACCTTTTCCCTATAAAATTCTGCTATCCAGGTGGCCCTGGTGGTGAAGGCAACACACTGCTTTACTATTAATAAAAGAGCAGTCCAGCAGAAACTTAATGTGATTCTCTAGATAAACACTTAATGGGCATAAATGATTGACCCAGCTTTGAGAAAGCAATGTTTCCAGACATCTTTATGTACACACATATGCTCATTATGCATACACACACACTTTCATTCATTGCTGCTCTCTGACCTGCTGGCTCAAACCATCCTTGGAACCAATATAGCATCTGGGACTACCTTGCCTTCCCTGCTTTGCACAGAAAAGCTAAGAGGAAACATTGGGCTATGAGTGGGCTTAAAAATCTCTCTCATTTCCACACTGTGCATTGGCCAGAGAACAGCTGAATTGGCCCTATAGTGCCAAGCCTTCCCTGATCAAAGGATTACATTAGCACCAGTTGTGGCCAACTTTGCCAGAAATCAAAATTCTTGCCCACTGAACATATCTAACACTCATTGATCTGCTCCCTGGAGGCAAATTTTTTTTAAAAAATCCAAAACTCCAAACAGAATCTCAGCCTTAAGGGCAATAAAGTACATTACAACAGTACCCATTAAGAAATCAAATGAAGGAATGGGATTTGTCTGTTCATCAGATACAGTTTAATACAGTCCTGGGAACAGATACTGGTCCCACTGTACAGGCAAGGGGAGGGCTGGCTATAAGTTTGGTTATGATTGATTGCTTTAGTGGATGAAAAAAGCTGATCTCCTTTCCTAACTCCTCAGTGACATCCTCCAGGGGCGATCTTCAGACCCCCTAAGATACAGTCTTTCAATTAATCTATGCTCCTTGCAAAATAAATAAATAAATAAATAAAGACCTACCCCCCCTACCCCCACTCTTTGCCAGGTGAGCAGGCACACACATTTCTTAGTATGGAGAATATATCAGAGTAAATGGACTATTGTGGAGGGGGAGGAACAAGAGAGGGAAAGAGGGAAATATAGAACTGTAGTAGAGATGGGCCTTGCCAATTAGTAGAGAAAATGCAGCATAAATCTAAACAACACTTCCCTGTGGTTTTTAACAGGGCTAGTCTTAGTCTTACTTAGAGCTCTAAGGCTATGGGTTATAAGGGTCCAAAACCATCTTCCCTCCACCCCTGCAAGCCTATCTGAAATTCCTCACACTGAACGCACTCATTAAGGTTGACCTTAAGGAGCCATAGGTGATAATTATCAGGCCATTCGGTTACAGGGAGTGAGGTATTGGGGACAGCATAACATGTCAGCTAACTGTCTCATTCCCATCAGGCAAAGCCTTGAGGGAATGGGTAGCAGCATGGGGGAGCTCTGTGGGGAGTCCAGATAAGTCTGGAGTTTTTAAGGCCAGGAGAACAGGCCCAGGCAGAATTCCACAGAAGGAAATCTGACTGATCTGGGGACAGCTGGGGGTATTTGGTGTCCAGATAGCACAATAGAATGTGGAAACCGGGGCATTGCTGATGAAAACTTGTGTCCAGTGGGGGCTGGAAACAGTCTTCCCCATCCCTTCTGTAAGCAGTTCTAGCATTTTCCCCAGTCTCCTGGGGGGGGAGGAAGAAAGGGATTTGGGTTGCTTGCTTGCTTGCTTGTGTGTTTTTATAACAACACGGTGATTTCATGCTTACGTCCTGCCCCACTCCACCCCCGGCTAGATGGCTCTAGTATCTGAAGCTTTAATCATTCATTATGAGATCTGGCTCCCCGTGGCTAGATCTGTAGTCTGATGGTCAGGCAAGCAAACCAGACCAAGCCTCCTGAATGACACAGGCCCTTCTTACCATATGAAACAAGTGTCCAACTTTTCATTAGCAATAGGCCCCATATCTTAAGTTATTTTAGCTGTGACAGGAAGGGTTTCTCTGATCCATCTGCGCCCTCTCACCTAGTGCTCTTGGGGAATAGGATGTGCATTTGCCATGCTCCAACCCACTGAGCTATGCAGCCCAGACAACAAGCACACATATATACACAGAAAAAGGGCCCTGGACACAGCTGCATTGGCAGTGGCTGCCAGCCCAGTCCCGACAGGCAGGGAAGCTAAGAGTCCCTGGGACCAAAGGTCCATTGGTTATTTGGCTGCCAAAGGGGGACCTAGGTCTAGCTGCCTACCCTTGCCCTGTCGCCATCCCCCTCCACCCCATCAGAGCTTACCTAGGCTCAGTTTGTTGATCTTCTGGAACTGGCTGCAGAGAAGAGATGCTAAGGTTGCTGGTGGACAAGCTTGACTTCAGCATAGTCCCTCCGTGGGCATCTTCAGGATCTTTTTTCTTCTTCTTGCCAAAAAAGCTCTTGAAGGCTTTAAATTTGAATTTCTTCTTTCCTGGGGTGAGAAATGGAAATGAGGCAGAGTGTGATGGTAGAAGGGAAAACAGGACAGGATACAGAGCCTTCATGGCAGGAACGAGCACTGTGATCCCAGGTGCCCTGCAGAACCTGGCCCTCACCCCCACAGCACCATCCATTTGGTTTGCTCCCCTCTTAGTCACTCAGTAACAAAGGGTCTGAGTTGCTGGTGAGAGCAGAAGCCCAGGCCACAGCTTGTGATCTTTGGGCAGCCTCTATTCAGGCCGAACTCACTGGGCATTCGTTTGCCTCTCAATTTCAACTATCAACATACACACCTCTTTCCTTATCCTGAGAAGTTCATTCCTGCGAAGCAATTATTGAGTCAATGTAAACACTTGGTTCTCCCCTGACCCCACCCCAGGGGCTGGAGTCATTGCAATAGAGTGGGAGAACCGAGCTTCCACATGTGGAAAGCACTGCAGAACCCTTAGAAATCCAAGTCCAAGTGGGAGTTGATACTTCCCAGCCTGGCGCTGAAAGGATGCAGACCCAAAGAGTGAGTGCAGGTGGTCGGTGCAGTCAGGGAACACTTCCTTGAGGACAGAATTTATGAGCAAGGGAGAGGGCTGGGAATCGGAAAGAAGAAAGGGCTGCCCACGTAAAGAATCTGCCTGTGCAAAAGGCGTGTCAAAATCAGATAGCAAAGGGCTTTTCAAGGTGTGTGTGTGCGTGCGTGTGTGTGTGTGTGTGTGTGTGTGTGTGTGTGTGTGTGTGATGAATTCTGTGTGTGTTCTTCAACTATTGCCAATTAGTTTGGATTATCCACAGGGCTGCTGCCCTCTGCACATGCAAGTAAATGAAAGTTTGCTCTATCTATAATAATTACCAGGGCACTGGTGAGGAATGTGAGCTTTAAATGCTCCTAAGGCTCTGTCTATTTCTGCCTTCTTTAGTTTCCTAATAAGCACATATGTCTTTATTGGGGCTCAGTAGAAGAGAAAGGGGTAGCGGGCTTATGCTGCATTCTTCGGAGGGAAAGAATTAGCTCTTATTGATTTCACATGCAGTAAGTTACCAACTCAGGTGTTGCATTCCAATTCTCAACTGTCTGGTCTCCAGAAAGGCCTTGCCAGCACAGCAATGCTATGCTGGCAATGAAGGGCCCAGCCAAGGGAGTTGTCAATGCAGCAGCCATTATGAAAGGCTAAATGGTGAGATGGAAAGCACCACCCAAGTATCAAAAAATTCTGGAATCTTAGGCTTGAATCTGCTATCAGGTAGCTCTGTGACTGTGGGTAAGTCACTCAACCTCTCTGGGGTTCAACAGAAAAATGAGGGGATTACACCTGATCAGCATCTCCCAAAGTATGTTCAGAGGGATGCTTACAAGGTTTGTTGCACAAAAAAGGGATCATCAGTCCAGTTAATCTGGAAAATGCTGGATTAGACAAAGTTTTGTGATCTGCTTTCGAATAAGACTTTTCTGAAACTTCAAAATTCTTATGTGCATCATGAAGTTTCAAGAAACTGCCAACAATATTGTCTCCCAGTGCATGTAAGTGGAATCTCTGGCAAAACATACCTTGGGAAATGCTGAACTAGGGTTCCTTCTAGCTCTGAAATGCCATGACCTATGTGTATACCGATTACTCCTTGGCCTGCCTGTTAGAAAGCCAGTGCAATTCATGCTTCTCTCCTTTCTCCGAACACCTAAAACTTGACGATTAGCAGCACATGTTTTGCATCTGAATATTCTCTAGTTTGCTCACTCATTCATTCATCTATTCAACAAATCTTTGCTAAGGTCAAGCATTTACTATGAGAAAGGAACAAGGTATAGTCCCCGGGTCTTAGCTACTGCCCCCACATCAAGGCTGTAGGCAGGCCCTTTTTAGCATCCTCCTTAGCAACTAGCACAGTGCAAGGTGTGCAGTAACATTTGAGAAACAACTGAGTCCATTGAGGGGTGCAGAATGCCAACACAGCTTGTCACTTCCCTTGAATAGTGACCACTGAGCAGAGCCATCCTTCAGCATCCTATAATTTAAACACTGACCCTTATAGGAGTTGAGGTAAGTTATAAATACCATAGGTAAAGAGCTTAGCATAGGATCTGGCATATAGTAAGTGCTCAATAAATGTGAGGTAGCATTAGGGACTCAATAATTACTTATTAGGGACAGATTCAATTCCATCTGTGTTTATTAGAAGCAGCCTCACATCTATAACTGAATAGTGAACTTTAAAATATGCATGACTAGAAGCAAAAGTGAGCATGGGGTAGGTCCATGAAAGATCATAGGACTGTTTGCTTCACCGCTTCCGGACCGCGCTCACGGGCCGCGAAGCCTTGCCCACAGCGGGCACTCATAGTCCGCATGGTAGTTTGTGCTGTGCATTGACGACGAATCCGTTTTGCTCTTGTGTGATGAAGAAACCTTTAAAGCACTGAAAGCTTGTTTTACTTTTCAGGCAGCTTTACTTGTAATGTAAATCAGAATAGGTAACATATACATATATGTTTTCATTATGTTATTTTTAAATGTTCACAATTTTATTTTGATAAATGAAAAATTAGAAAAGTCATATCACGGCTGTCGGCTAAAGTTGCTGTGTGCGTTCATCTGTGGCTATCGACTATAGTCGACACTGGTCCCAAAGTGGTTAATAATTGCTGCTTAAGTAATTTCTGTTTTGGATGACTTGGGCAATTTCTTATCTACTAGGATGTACCTATGTAGGGTCATGGCTGGGAAAACTTGGCAATTCTACCTAAAGATAGAATAGAAAATGACAATGTAATAGGAAACATATGTTTTCCCCAAGCTCCCTTTTTAAATTTTTCAGAGAAAAATTAAACTAATTTCTATGATAATAAATTAAAATATTTGAAATGATGTTTGACCTCATGGAACTACCATAAGGATTCAATATGAAAGTTCTGAGAAATATACACTACAGAGTAGGCTGGCTCTAAAATCATCTTTATTTTGCTCTTTGGCCTTCTCAATCTCCCCACGCCCAAATGATTTCTGAAATCTATTAAATTGTGAGATTTTTGAATGTAAAATCCTGATTGCTATAACCATTTTTGTGCTAGAAAATGTTTAACAACTGGTTCTCTGGGGGAAATGCCTTGATCTGTAGCATTTGCCTATTTTTGTGGTGTAAATACAGCCACCATGGCCAGTTTGAAGCTACCAACATGATGTTTGGGAAGAGATGTGCCCAGCCTCCCAAGCCAGTGTGAGTCAGCTCCAACATACCACGAAATAATTCCCACCCAGGGAGGACAAATTGGGCAGAATCCTCCCACAAACAGGAAGGAGCAAGATTTTTGGACTTTGGAAACATTGCTATTTTCCAAACAGAAGGAACAACATGTATTGATTCTTGACAGATGGATCTCCTTCTGGCCTTCTGAAAGGGGAACAACTTCATGCTCAGAAAGTTTACAAACATAGTGATTGTTGCTCCTTTTGCTTCAAAATCCCATAATGGAAGGGAGAAAGGCAAAGCTAGAGAATTTGGAATTGCAAACCTGTTCCTCATAAACCAGCAAAGACAAAGAGAAGAGACAGTCGGCAGCTGGTAGCTCCATTTGTGACACAATTTATAAACACTGAAGAGCTGAATAAAAACACAACTAATAATCCCTTCAGGCTGTAAAACTGAATTTAACAAATATAATCATTCCATGAGCAGACAAAATTATGCATTACCATATTTTAATGTTCTGAAATTAACAAAATGACTAGCAACTTTGGAACTGTAACAGGTGCTAAAAATTAAGTATGCATATATTCCAATTTTCCCCCAATTTTCCTGGGCAGAAACAACTTATTTTCCTACAGGGATTGAAAATAGCCTAAGCAATGTGTGCCTCTTTCAACCATGGTCACTGGAAGGAAAAGAATGTTTACATTCCACCATGTGGGGTGAGTCTGAGTGTGGCAGCAGTATAGCTTTGCTAGCAGGGAGCTGGGGACATACCAAGAAATGGTAATTGCCAAAGATGGTGGGCTGGCTGCTTATTGAACTAGAGCAGTGACTTGGAAGCTGGACATGGCTCTAGTGAGCAACCCATTGCCAGACATACAATGTCAGTGACAACTTAGTCTTCAGCCTACTTTGGATTAGGAGATTTCCCTACCCCCTATGTATGGAGAGAAGCCTTGGTCTCACCCCTGGGAGTGAGATACAAAGCCAAGTACTGCCCACGTGCTATGTTACTTTTGAAACCCTAATGGAATCTTAGATGATTGCCATGTATTCAAGTGTATAAATTGGCCTTTCAAGCATTCCTTTTTTAAAGGGGTGCCTTTAACTTGCCAGCAGCTGAGCCCTCCACAGGCTGGTTTTCAAAAGCTACTAAAAGCACAAAGGGTATCGAGACCTAGACAGCAGGTATGGGTCAAACCCCACATTTGTACCTGGCAATGTTTATATAGGTCACCTATATGCTGGGTAACTTATGCCATCACAAGTTACAGCAGTTGTGGTCAGTGAGCTGACAGCTGAGAGCTGACAGTTGTCTGGACTTACAAAGTCACTGATTTCCCCGTCCAAGCCCAAGGACTACGCATTTCCAAACAGCAAGTAGCTTTCAAAATTTTCACCCAATGAGGGGCTGCAGTGTGTCACATACCAGAAAACAGCCCATTGAAGGCAGCTCCCCCCCTCCCCCAGAAGAAAACACAGCTAAATCCAATGAAGAAATTGTCGCTTCTGGGTTGTATATTTACTTATGCACCATGCACACAGCCCATCTGGGTTGAACTTAATGAGCTTTAAAAATCCATCTCATAATGATGACCTTGTTCTCTTGCATTGCTGCTTGGAAGGAAAACATTTCTAACTACCCTTTCTTCCATTCAGCCTCCCAACAGCCACTTTATTCTCTGGCTAGCACTGACTAGTTCTAAAAACATACCCAAATATTTGGTCTTAAAAAAAAAAAAACCAAAACCTTGAGAAAAGTCATTTCTTTATCTCCAGTCTTCATCAAAATGCTCTGCATTGCCAGCTTCTTCTGTAGGCATCTGACTAGCTCATATCCAAAAAAGATTAAGTCAGTTGGTTTGGTAGGTGTATCTGCCTTGGTGACAAGGCCTTTCATTCCTTCATTCATTCATTTGTTAAATATTTTGGAGTGTCTAATCACTGTCTCTGAGATCCAATACTAAACAGTGGTAAAGAAAAAGATGCAAGTGCTACCACCAAGGATCCATGAGCAGGTTCAGCATCTCCATCTCTTCATCATCAGTGAGGTCAGGCCCTCAGGAAGCCACAAGGAGGTCCCCCTCTCTCTGTCCTTCCAGACCGAGTCTTCTGTACCATACACCACTAAAGAAATCTCAGCAAAACAACTGAGGAACAGCCCAATTACCTGTTAAATTCTGTTCTGTCTTTGAGCTCAATGTCTCACTTCATGTCTTATGATTCCTTTTTGTTTTGTTTTGTTTTTTTTGAGACAGAGTCTCACTCTGTTGCCCAGGCTAGAGTGCCGTTGCATCAGCCTAGCTCACAGCAACCTCAAACTCTTGGGTTCAAGCGATACTCCTGCCTCAGCCTCCTCCTGAGTAGCTGGGACTAAAGGCATGTGCCACCATGCCCGGCTAATTTTATATATATATATTAGTTGGCCAATTAATTTATTTCTATTTATAGTAGAGACGGGGGTCTCACTCTTGCTCAGGCTGGTTTCAAACTCCTGACCTTGAGCGATCCGCCCGCCTCGGCCTCCCAGAGTGCTAGGATTATAGGCGTGAGCCACCGCGCCCGGCCTTATGATTCCTTTTTATTGTGTGTCAATAAAGCTTATTATTGTTAGTGACTTTTGCCTCCCTTACTATTATTCCATTCATGATCACCTGTAACTCACAGATGGCACCACAATTTAGGCAATGGACACACATCTGAGTGAGTTTTGCAAAAGAGAATTTTTGTAAATTGAATCCTATTTAACAGAACCCTATGGTGGCATCTTTTGATTCTATCCTCCCCTTTGCCCCTCAAATTACAAATTCACCTGTTGGTTAGATCTGGATTACTATCTCCAGTAAAACCTCATTTGAATCTGTCAGATCATGGTCTGTTCTTATTGTATTTTTTTCTGATTAAACAGAAATACTTCTCCTGCCTTAGTCAGTAGAACCTGGTAACCATGTCCAAAGAAGATCTCAAAGCCTCAGACAAAACCTTTTCACTGTCAGAGTTGGAGATGACAGAAAAGAAGTTAGAAACCTGAAAAGTAAACGTGCACTGAGTCTAATGTTATTAGAAATTTGATCTTGACTTGTTTTCTTATGCCTTGCTTCTTTTTCCTAGGGGTTAAACACAGTAAATAAATCTAGGTTCCATTGGGTTACTTACCCTCATCACTGGTCTCCAGAATTTCCAGACTGCCAGAAGCTTCATTCATAAATTCAGCCATGGTAGGATCACTAAAATCAAATACAGAGCAAAAAATCAAAAGATCATCATTCGATTGCCAGGGGATAATGCAATCATTTTACCCTATCCCTTATCCTTCAGCTAGATTCTTAAACTATTCAACAAAAGCTATACAAATGGAATTGCCATTAGGGAGAATTATCCTTCCTTAAAAACTACATTGGTCCCATGATAGGAAATATCCAGAATAGGCAAATACATAGACATAGAGAATATCTTGTTTAGGACTGGTACAGATGGGTGTTTTGGGGGCGTGGGTGATAAAGAGTACAGGGTTTCTTTTTGAAGTGATAAAAATGTTCTAAAATTGTGATGGTCACACTAATCTATGAACATATTAAAAAGAATTGTATACTTTAAACAGATGAACTGTACACCATGTGAATTATATCTCAATAAAATTGTTATCAGAAAAAGAGAGACAAATGTAAAACAGCTGATCTATTGTTTTGTGTTTGAAACCGTTACTTTTTTTTTTTTTTTTTTTTTTGTTGCCCAGGCTAGAGTGAGTGCCGTTGCCTCAGCCTAACTCACAGCAACCTCAAACTCCTGGGCTCAAGCAATCCTCCTGCCTCAGCCTCCCACGTAGCTGGGACTACAGGCATGCACCACCATGCCCGGCTAATTTTTTCCATATATATTAGTTGGCCAATTAATTTCTTTCTATTTATAGTAGAGACGGGGTCTCGCTCTTGCAGAGCTGGTTTCAAACTCCTGACCTCGAGCAATCCTGCTGCTTCGGCCTCCCAGAGTGCTAGGATTACAGGCGTGAGCCACCGCGCTCGGCCGGAGCCTGTTACTTTTGGAGGGCTGTTACCATTCATGGTGTGCCCAGGGAGACAAAATTGCTTTGATACACATCTAGAGCCATAGAGGAAGAGATTGACATAGTTGACTACATAAAAATTTAAAACTTTTGGCCAAAAAAATGAGTCAACAAAATAATGACAAACTAGGAAACAATACTTGCAACAAATATGACTGATATAGAGGCCAATTTTCTTAATTTGTCAAGAGCTCACATAAATCAACAAAAGTCAAACAATTCAGTATAAATGGGTCAAAGAGTACAAAGGCAGTCTGCAGAAAAAAATATGAACAGGTAATAACCACATAAGGAGAAGTTCAGTCTGACTCATAATTAAAGAAATATAAATCAAAATATCAAATTAACATTTTCATTTATCAGATTATCAAAACAGGGTTACCACTGATAATATCCCATTGCTGACCAAGGTGGGGAAAATATGGACTCTCATACACTATGAAGTAAGTAGCTCTAACTCTTTGAAAAGAAATTTGGCAATATCCATCAAAATGTAAAATACATATACCTTTTAATCCGGTAACATCACTGTTGGAACTTCACCCCATAGATATCCTCACATTTGCATGCAAAAATATACATGCAAGAATGAATGTTTGTCACAGCATTGTTTTAAATCAACTGTACTTTTTGGCACCAGGGACTGGTTTCATGGAAGACAATATTTTCAAGGACAGAGGTGGGGGAGGGGTGGAAGGAGGAGGACAGTGGGGGCGGGTGGGAGAGGTGGGGGGAGGTGTAGGTCAGGCGGTAGATGCCGGCCATGTTTTCCTAACAGGCCAGGGACCAGTGCACAGCCAGCAGCCACCCAGGGTTCGGGGACCACAGTTTTAAATAGCTAAAAATGGAAAACAACCAAAGTGATCATGAATAGGATAATTGTCTCATGACTCTATGTCATGCTTCTAGGGAAGTATGCCAGTCGATAATCAAACCTTTAAAATCAATGCTGACATTCTTGATGGGAGTTTGCGTATGTGGGGAGGGGCAGGTATCTGATGAGCACCATAACCCAGAGAAAGGGTGCTCTACTCACACATATCAAGAAGGCTGTAGAGAGACAAGCAGAGACTTTGCCCCCATGATACCCCCTCCCCCAAGTCTGGAGATGACTGGCTATATCATCAAGTGGAATTAAGTTCTGGAGCCAACTTGCCCGTCCCAGGTCTGCTCTCCTCCGGATATAGCCAAGCTGCTCTTGCTGTTTCATGGATGGACTCCAGGACCATCCCGTCCTGCTCTCTAGTGCAAATCCCCAAGACATCTCCAGAGGTAGAAAGGGATGACCACAGGCTCTCAGGCTAAGAACTTGAGAGTTCACATAGCCAGAGTGACTGAGGCCTTGGAGAGCGAAAGGTTCCAAACCACAATGAGAGCTGACAAGGCCATGGTATCAAGATGGCTTCAGACCCACTTACCAAGATGCCCTATGGTTCCCCACGATATGTCTTCTCCCTCACTGCCATGAGTAATAAACGCAACTTGTTCAACTACAGGTACATTCCTGGCTGAAAGGCATTGATACTTTGTTCAAGTCATTCAACCTCTATAAGCCAATATATCACAATTGTGCCTAAAGGTGACTGAGTCCTGGCCCATACTGTGCTCAATAAGGGGCACATACGCACACATACCCTTTCTACTTCGCACAACTACACCCCCTTTCGTCAGGAGAGCCCACACATATCACACCATCTAGAAAGAATAGATTTCCCCTTGACATTCCTGCCTCTACTATTTTTTCCAAGTTCCATCTAGAGATTTCCAGGAGCAAAGATGGAGGGAAATTCACAAGCCCCTCAGAAATTCACAGGGAGAATAGGAAATATTCATGTCACTGGTAAGTTCCTCGCCAACTCAATACACATGTTTAGGAGGGGAGACACACGTCCTGATAAATTGACTGACAGTGGTGCTGGCCTCAGGGCCTTTAGGATTCGGTTGGGGAAATAAGGCAAGTATGCCAGAAAGCACTTCGGCCAGTATACACTCAAGGGTTAAACTGGTTCTGTGGTGCTCTAGGGATTCAGATGCTGCCAAGATGCCCTCGTTCTTTGTTCGGACAGCTCGTTTAAACATGGTAATGGCGCAGCAAGGCCAACTATTTAGGAACAGACTTAGGTGAGGGAGAAAGCCTGCGGCTCTAGAGTAGTCACTATTATCGTTCATGAGGAGCCTGAGCAACCTCACCAGGGCTTGGGAGCTCCCCTAAAGAAGTCACCTCACTCTGTGTGCCCAGAGAGAGGCTTTCTGGGGACAGTGGGTTTCCCAGAAGTCTGGAATTTAAACTCAAGCCATGTCTGTGGTCTGTTGATCCAGTGGCGGCTAATGAACCACGGCACAGGTTGGATCCAGTTGGCTCTACCCTCACACAGCCACGGGCCTCAGACCTCAGTGCAGGTCACCATTTCACAAACCTGCTGGTCACCATCGGGCTGCTGGAAAGAGTATGGATAACTGCAGGAAAAACACACAAACCTCCCCTTGATTTCAAATCCTCTTCCAGTTCCCACCCCATTCCTCTGCATTTCAAAAGCGTTATCTATACTCACAGTCTTGATGTCCTGGCTGCCTGCTCTCTTGCGCTCTCCAATCAGGCTTCCAAACCCAACTGCTTCCAAGCCTCTCCACCAAAACTGCTTTTGTTGAATCCACCAGTTACTTGACCTTCCAGCAGCGTCTGACACCATTGATCACACGCTCTTTGGGGATAATTATATCACTTGACTTTCAGAACACCACACCCCCCTAATTTTCCTCCTACCTTATTGGCTGTTCCTTCCGGGTGTCCTTTGCTGGATCTTTCTCTTCTCCCTGAATTTGAAATGTTGTAGCACCACAGGGCTCTGTCCTTGGCCCTCTTCTTTATCTACAATCACTTGCTAGACCTGCGCCATTACATAGAAATGTTAACGTGAGCACAATTGCAAGTCGCGTATATAATTTCAAATTTTCTAGTAGCTACGTTTTAAAAAGAAACAGGTGAAATTGCATTTAATAATATATTTTATTTAACCCAATATAACCAAAGTATTATTTCAACATTTAACCACTATAAAAAATAATACTAATGATATATTTGACGTTCTTGTTTTTCCCCACACTAAGTTGCCACATCAGTCACACCAGCCCCCAGCTCCGAACCCCTCAGTGGCTTGCCATCAAGCTCAGAGAAAAATTCCAGCCCCTTACCATGGGCCTTGTGTGATTTAGCTCCACTCCCACACCCCACTGACCGCCAATCCTGCTATCCTCCCTCTGCCCAGCCACAGTGGCCTTCTTGGCAATCCCCGACACACCAAGCCCCTTTCAATCTCGGGACCATTGCATTTGTCACTCTCTCTGCCTGGTGGGCTTTTTCCCCAGATAGTTGCATGGCTGACTCCTTTGTGGCATTGGAACATCCAGTGTTAGTTCCCCCAGAAAGCATTTCCATGATCATCCTAGCTAAGGCACTCCTAGTCTCTCTCTCCAGCCCATTATTCTTTATTAACATCTTCCTAGCCCTCATCGCTACCTAAACTTACATTCTATATTAATTTAATTACTAGTTTCTTGTCTGTCTCCTCTACTAGAATGTAAATTCCATGAGGGCAGGGGCCTGTCTATTTTGTTCATCAATGGATCTCCCAGAACCTAGAATGAAAGAGTCACAGGAGTTACTACTGTTGGATTAGATGTGGCATGTGAGGGGTGTATCAGGCACTCAATGAATTGAATGAATGTGTAAATTGCTTAAAAGAAGAGGACGTAATCTAAAAACCATCTTTGTGATCAGAAATTTCTTAGAAGTAGAGGCATGCTATAGGAGGCAGAGGAAGACTTGTCCTGGGAGAGGACCCCTTGTTTCCCAATTTGGCAGGACCAGCCTTCCCTTCCAGCAAGGTGGCCCCACCCCTGGCTTATTAACCTGTGCAGAAGCAAACACTCTTGGGCCCCTCTAGTCCATAGAGTCCATTCCCAGGTGTCCCAGCCATGTGAACCCTGCATGTGGCACCCCATTCAGCTGGGCTGGGCCTGGACCCTCATAGAGGAGGAGGTTTCAGTAATAGAAAGCCTGCCTCTTCCTACTTTCCTGCCACCACTGACATAATTTCTGTTCTCTTGCCCTCAGGCTGACCTTATTAAACAGACCTTTGCTTCCCAAGTATCTCCTTATAAAGGCATCACTGTGTTTCTTTCATGTGTCTCATTATGGCCAATATAAATTTAAAATGAATGTGTTCCTTAATTATACCGTGACTCAATGATAGTGACCTTCGGGCTGCGTCTTCCGGTCTATGCTCTTATTTATGGTATTTAGTAAAAACTACTGTCCCCTCATTGGTATCCCAAAAAAAGTTACAAAGTCACAATGTTCTCGCTAAAATACCAATGCAACCATGACGCTCCCCTGCCTAAACTCGGTCACCAACTTCCTGCTGCCTGCAGGATAAAAGCCAAATTCTTAACATTCAAGGCCCTCTGCAATCTGGTGCTCTCTGCCCCTTGGAGGGGGTCCAGTCTCTTAGCAGCTCACCCCTACTCACACGCCCACACCCTGGTCTCCCAGAATCACCAATCACTCCCTAAACACACCATGTTCTTGTGCTTTCTCTGTGCACTGCACAGGTTGTCCACTTGGCCTGGAACACCATCCCCCTAATCCCCACATCCTTAAAATCCTACACATTCTTCAAGGCCCAGATCAAAGGTAACCCCCCCATGCCCTTTGCACATACCTCTGTCATAGATGATTATCACCGTGAGAACAGGGACCACTTTTTGATTGTTTGAATATCGTCAGTACCTAGTATAATACCAGGCACACAAAAAGTGCTCACTGTAATACATGTGCTTATGGATGGATGAATGCAGGAGTTGGGTGCATGGTCCTATAGGACTCAGTGAGGAAAATGGTCCCCTTCTTTAAACATATGGAGACACTCTTAGATACCCTTTCAGTAAAGGACCCCGCTGCATGAAATCCCATGCAAAAGCTAGCAAGCCAAGTAAGGAAAGGAAATAGAAATTTTTATCCAGTAAATGATGAGAGGCCCTCAGAACCACTTCCAAGGAGCATAAATAGTCATGTAATAATGGTCATCAGGAAGTCTGGCCTAGTGGAGATATAAAGTTTTGTTATCAAGTCATATCAAGTCATTATTAAAATGTTTTCTTGCTTCTCCAGGCCAACCCCAGATGCTTAGGCCCCACAGCTGCCTTTTCCTTCTCAGACGGCCTCATTTCAGGGATGAACAAGGGATCTAGGGGGTAAAAAAGGAAGAAAAAAAAGAAGGGAAAAAGCACTGTCTTCCAAGGTTGTTGAAATTTTTAACTACAGCCTGATTCAACTTCAAAAATTCAGAAGACTTTGCTTGACAGATTTGCTATCTTTCCAGAATGGGGAATGCTAATGGAAAGCAGCTGGTCTCATGTTTTTGCTTTTTAAAAAACAATCTGCTAGGATGAAATGCTTTTCACATTGTGGTAGATAGAATTCTAAGATGGCCCCTGAGATTTTCACCCCCAGGTATGCATGCCCTATAAACCCCTTCTCCCTGAGTGTGGGTGGACCTCAGCTACTCACGTGTGACTTTTAAAAAAACATATAGAGGTCAGATACAGAAGTCAGAAAGACTGGAAGCTGCAGCACATGCTCTCCTGTTGGCCTTGAAAGAACAAACTGCCATGTTGTGGAGGGCCACAGGGCAGAGAACGGCAGGTGGCCTCTAGGAGCTGAGAGCACCCTTCGGTTAACAGCTATCGAGAAACCAGGGATTTCAGCCCTGCAGCCTCAAAAAACTGAATTCTGCCAATAGTCTGCCAGTTTGGAAGACAACCTTGAACGTCAGAGACCTTGGCCTTGGCCGATACATTGATTGCAGCCTTGTGAGACCCTGAGCAGAGAACCCAGTGAAGCCATGCCTGGATTCTTGACTCATGGAAACTGAGAGTGAATTTGTATTGTCATAAGACACTAATTATTTTGTCATTTGTAACACAGCAACAGAAAACTAATGGAGTCCTACAAGCCCCAGGTCCAGTTGAGGAAGAAGCCAAAAGTGGGGTAGGTTTGGAGCCATGTCAGCTGCAACACAGAACTGTGTTCAGAAGCCCACGAAGGGACCGTCTGCTCCCTTCTCCCAGCCCACCCTACCACAGACACTTCTTTACAAAGAACTTAAGTTGCTATTCTCTCAAGTGAGTTGTCAGCTGGACCTATTCCAGGGGTCCTCAAACTTTTTAAACAGGAGGCCAGTTCACTGTCCCTCAGACTGTTGGACAGTGCGCACTGTGGGCCTGGGATGAGTCAGCTGCTAAGCAGGCCAGGCAGCCGGCAAAAACACCCGGAGGCCGGATAAATGTGCTAGGCGGCCCTCAGGCTGTAGTTTGAGGACACCTGTATTAGACCCTGCCAAAATGTTAGAACATGCAAAAGCCCCTTAAAGTCTAACCTTGTTTGAGATGGCTTTCCCTACCTCCAAGAGAATGCCTTTAATCCCTTTCAAACTATTGCTGTACTGTGTATATTCAACCAGAGGTGTGAAATCTGCCAAGCAGTGACTGAAGAGCCCTGGAGTCGATCATTCTGAGGCATGGCAAGGAGAGAGAATGGTGGTGATTGGCTCCTCTTTGCAAGTGCTCAGCTAGTTCTAGAGGGAGTGTCTGATGCCAAGATAGCAACTTGTGCAGGAACCTGGGATCCTCTGAAGTGAAAGTATCAGAAACGGCCCTTATGCCCCTTATTAAGTGGAAAGTAACCTAACCCCCAGGGTAGAGAAGTCTATGTTCACTCTCCTTCCTCTTCTCCTTGCATGAGGTTGGCAGGAGGGCACCAGACATTCAATGAGCTCTTGAAATGCAACACTTGCACACCCATAATGAAGACAGCTGCCCCTCAACCCACACAATGAGCTCTAGAAGTCCCACTCTAGGAGTCCCACCATAGTCAGGATGGCTTCATTGTGGACAGTCACCCCACGGATTAGTAGAGTTCATTTGGTGGGATAGGGGTTTGATACCAAATTCCACCCAGGATATAACTACATCCAAGCAAAACTCAGAGACTTGGCAGGTAGTCAGCATGATTAGCATTTGCCTAGCAGGGACCAAGTGCAGCAGCAGCTATGAGTAGGCTCAGGACCAGGAAGCCAGCCGTGAACTTCTGTTTGTTTATGCTCCTAGGAGCAGGTGTGAGCACCCTCATGGGAATCTGACTAGAGGAGAGCAATCTTTTTTTTTTTTTTTTTTGAGACAGAGTCTCGCTTTCTTGCCTAGGCTAGAGTGAGTGCCCGTGGCGTCACCCTAGCTCACAGCAACCTCAATCTCCTGGGCTCACAATCCTCTGCCCTCAGCCTCCCGAGTTGCTGGGACTACAGGCACGAGCCACCATGCCCGCTAATTTTTTATATCAGTATATATAGTTGGGCCAATTGATCTTCTTTCTTTTTTATAGTAGCAGACGGCGTCTCGCTCAGGCTGGTTTTGAACTCCTGACCTCGACGCAATTCCTGCCCGCCTCTGGCCTCCCAGATGTGCCTAGGATTACAGGGGCGGTGAGCCACCGCGCCCGGCCAGGAGAAGCAATCTTGATGGCCATTTATCCTGGATCTGAGAGCCCTGGGTAGATATCTGCCCAAGCAGAAACTGCTGCCTGGCTTTAGTGGTACAGTATTATATTCTTTAACTTGAATTTTTTATTGATACATAATATTTTCATATGTATGGGGTACATGTGATATTTTGTTACATGCATAGACTGTGCAATGACCAAGTCAGGGTATTTAGGATATCCATCACTTCAAGTATTTATCATTTCTACGTGTTAGGGACATTTCAAGTCCTCTCTTCTAGCTACGTTGAAATATACAATGCATTGTTGTAACCACAGTCACCCTCCTCTGCT